GGGCCTGACCAGTTACTAGTAGACCCTTTCTTTTACCTCCTGTTTGCACTTCTTCAGGTGACGCCACAGGAATGCCAGTATCCCAGTGGCCTTTGCTGTCACTTGGTCTACGTGCATTTTCCAGCTGAGGTCGTTTGACATCTCCACTCCCAGGTATGGATGGTGATCTACCTTAACGAGTTGTCTAACCCTTGATGGTGTACTTCATGTAGACTTTGGTATTCATCCGTGACCTCCTTAACCTCATTACATAACACATTTTGTTTTGTATTTAACCTCGTCAGCAACTTATGTGACAATTCCGCCGAAGTTTAAAAATCCTCCTCGACATGCTGGCTGTCTTCCTGTGTTTGGTTGTCCAGTACAGAAGGCAGTCATCTGCAAAATGTTTGACTGGTGAAGTTGTCCCTTGGCCAATGTCGTTCACATAGAGCCGGAACGTTAATGATCCAGGACCCATCCTACGATGTTTCTCAATCTAATGCCAACCTCTGTCAGCCAGTTCTAGCTAGATCCATGCATGAGTCTCGCCCTAGATGTATCTAATCAAAATCACACACGCGAGATATTATATGTGTATTTATCTACAGTAGTGATTTACTTTGTGTAAGTGTTTACCTGCGAATTGTCATCATCATCATTTCCAAAATATTGATGAGTCCGATTGCTAAAGATTTAGTAAGTTCTCACCATGTGGACAAGTCCCACGGGAAAATCAATGGTAAAAACTCCAATATGATGTCCCCCAAATTCCTGATCAATTCTTAGTTTATTGATCAGGGTCTGGTTTTGCAACATGAATGAATTTTCTAAAATGGACCAGGAAGAGCATATTTATTATAAAACATGTATCACGGATTATATCACAAATCTGGACTCTTCTCTCTGATTGTAATCAAAATATGTGAATCCCAGTTGCCGCGGGTTCATAGTCTCACATTTATATCACGTCTTCTTGATGATCTTTTTTTTAAATGATCTCACTGTTTATGTACAATTATTTTTCATTATTTTTCTACCAAGTGGCTCTATGAAACATAATCCGCCAAACAATGCATTGTATAACAGCTTTAATCGTGACGTCATTATCATTGTTCGAAATGCTGTGTATTACGCTGGTAAAGGCGAATGGATGGGAACGTTTTGAATGATGACAAAAAACAACAACACGTATAAGCAGAACAGTGTTCAACAAAGGGAATCTATATCTACACTCACCTATATCTGGGATCAACAGCACAGTAAATTGTTTCTTGCATATGGCCCTATTATACCAGTATCTCGTGATGTACATGCAATATAGGCTGGACCCGGGTACAGTCGGTCTAACTGTACTTACGTTTCCTACCCTCTCCCACGTCAGAACAACGAAACAGTCCAATCAGTGAGCGGTGGACCTAACGATGTCCGAAACAGAGTTAATCATTTGTACCACACTGACTTCCCTCTCATTATGTAAACCGATTGAAAATGGGTCAGGCTGGGTTAATGTCCACTAAACGATGACATTGGTTGTTTTCATTGAAAACTAGAGATATTCTCAACGTTTTTTCGTTATCTTTGGTGTAAGTGCCCCTTGTATCAGAGACGTATATTTGTTTTTATTGTTTAGAGTTTTGCATCCTCGCAACAACCAGACCCATATACTGTATATGACGATGTCCAAAGATAACTGGGCCATTCAATTTTACAGTACCAGCTCACTGCAATGTAGTAATCTGGACACGAGGTCACTTACTCCAATGCTAACTAGGGCTGTCTCGATAGACACCAGGAAAGGAAAGAGAAGAAAGATCTAGAAATGTCGGCCAAGTGACGGGGAAGCATACTTGTTCTTATTGCTTTGCCTACATCCTCCCCCTAAACCGTCCCGTCGTAGACAGCGTATCCAGAGTTATTGGTTTTTTAGCTCACCTGGCCCGAAGCACAATGTGAGCTTATGCCGCACTGCGGCGTCCGTCGTCCGTCTGTCGTCCGGCGTCCGTCGTCCGTCCGTCCGTCCGTCAGCTTTTCCTTTTAAACGACTTCTTCAAGAACTGTCAAGAACTGGTGGACCTAGGGTCATGATATTTAGCCAGTAGGTACCTGGGGTGGAGTGCTATACAGTTTCCTCATTTAAATGACCTTGATTTACTTTCAAAGTCACAGGGGTCAGATTTGTTCAAAAATTCAAACAACAATATCCTAAGAACCATTTGGACTAGAGTCATGATACTTAGTAATGTTATGAAGACCAGCAGTGCGAATCCTTTTCTCAATTACAGTAATGAGGTCAAAGGTCAACTTTAAGTGCTAGCCGGGGGTCAAATGTCAACATGAATTAAAAGCTTTAACAATTTTCTTCTCAAGTTCCATAAGGCCCACGGTCATGATATTTTGCCAGTAGGTACATGGGATGGAGTGCTATAAAGTTTCCTCTTTAAAATGACCTTGACCTACTTTCACTTTTATACAATAATGTAGTACCAGCTCACTGTAATGGACACGAGGTCACTTACTCCAGTGCTAACTAGGGCTGTCTCGGTAGACACCAGATACACACCTGTATATCCGTGACCGCAGAGCAATGCTTTGATTGGATATCAAAGTGAATTACACTGTACCCACGTGCATTGGATGTTGTCACGAGGAATTCCAAGTGCGCAAAATGACATATCAACAAATGTTCATTTTGGAAGTGTTTACCAAAAGTTCATTTTTAAAGCGTTTTTCGAGAGTGAAAATCCTAGATTTCAAAGGTTAAATATTTTTGATCAATGGTTTGATTTTAATGTTGACTTACTAGAACATTTTCTTTTACAGAAAATCGACATTTTTTTTCGTAGGTGTAAACTGATACAGAATAATATATGCACTGGTCTTCACACAGGCGTTTTCTAGGACTGCTATACTAAGCATATTTATTTTAATAAAAAAGAAACACAAAAAAACTGAATTAACAAAATATGAAATTACAACTTTCGTAGCAAGAAATAGTCTCCGTCCTTCTGTATCCTAACACCAGTTAGACTAGATTTAAACATCGTTTGCATTGGAGATCTAGCTGAGAGAATTGTACTGAAGGGAGGGGGGGGGGGGGGGGGGGGGGGGGGGGGAATAACACGGCATCGTAAACTGTAAACATAAAGAATAGAACTAATCCACAACAAATGTGAAATAAACAAAATAAAATAGCAGGCAACATTTCCATTCCATATTCATGTACTACTTCAGAGAGAAAATATAAAACTGAATGTAAAATATGATACAGTCAATGTGCACAGGGAATAGTTAATTGATTTCCAGTCTCGCAAGATCAGTTTTATTTATTTGATTTAGGCTTCAAAACATGTTTTAATTATCCATGTAATCAAGCTAAAAAATGTAACAATGTTTTGGAAATATTTTTCCCTGCATGAGTATAGCATTGATAGATAAATCATTACCAAAAAGAAAAACACCTTCCGAAACTTTAATGAGAAACTAATAAAGATTACATAATCAAAAATTCGAGCCCGAGACGTTCCAATCCAGGGACTGCCGCTCTAACAATCCAAACTACCCTATCGACGGTAATGGAATGTCCCAGTGGCGCTTCTTTCCCCTGTAGGCGCTTAAGGGTTCCTGTCCCGATGTATGTTTTTCGTATATACAGTAACTTCCCCTAATTACGTTTTGGATACACTTCCGTTGATCATCATCATCATCATCATATCACAGTATTTTTTGTAGTCCTTACATAATTGATTTATTCACCACAATTTAAGAAAAAAACAATTGATAATGCATTTATGTCGAATTCATTAATGGTTTTTCCAGACCACCAAGACAAGTTTTGACGCCATTTTTCAACATGCCGATTTAAGTTTTAAATGCAACAGACAGAAAATGTTCAATTTTACTTGCCATTTTTACCTTTAAAATATCGGTGACTGTAACAAAATATGAAATTCGACCAATTTGTTCAGGACGGACCAGGAGTTTAGACAATATATCGATATAACGACCATCTCTGTTAGGTTAAGGTATTTACACTGTTCTCTTTTTTCCATCGCTGTGTATTAGATTACGTATTTTCCCCTTTAATTCCCCTGTAATATTCATAATATCACAAACAATTATTATATAAGCGTTGACCAACATATCAGAAGTGATCATGAACGTACGTATACAATTTTAAGACACAGAGTCACCGAATGCACCTATATGCGCAGTCATAAATCGTGTATTTTAGACAGTGTCCATGCGGCGAACTGAAATAGGTGCTCAGCATACATGTACTTTAAGCCCCATACGTCTTTATGATGGGTAAATTTTCCTTTTTTGCATTATAATAAAACTTCTGTTTTTCATAAGTCTTGTTTTAATACACAGGAATGAATCAGGTATCTAAAAGACAGAAGCCCTGCAGCTAAAACACAGAATGGTTGGTGTGGTTGCTGGAAACATTTTCAGGCCGAAATAAAAAAAAACTCTGACTGTGCGGAGATTATGTTTGCAGCAGGTCACAGCAGGTCATTGTAAATAACTCCATTTTTTTATTCAGTGAAATATGGCCCAGAGTAAAATTGGTATGCCATTTTAGCTCCAACTTGGACAGATGCCGCAAACCGCAAAATTCCGGTTTTTTTCACATTCATATTTTTTTCCAAAAATAATTACAGAGATAACAGTACATATTTTTGTCGTCAGTTTTGTCTTTCGGAGATTCTTTTCCGCAGAGAAAACGTGAAATAGAAATCATTTTACAGTGTATTTTGACATGGTACATTGTCTATTTAAACAGCCAAACTGTCGAATTCCTGTCGGTTTCAGTTTGATAAAATATTGATATAAAATTCAAGTACCTGTTTCCTTCATACATTCACGAATCCTCCATTGATAACGCCGTTTATGAACATTTTCTTATCGGTTTACTAAAAAACAGCAACTGTACATGAATAAAACGTCCAAATCCGAATAAAGGGAAATAACTCGTAAATACAATTTTACATTTTAACCAGGAACTTTAATAACGGTGTTTATCTACGCTAGCACCGTACATATGTAAACATGGCAGCCCCCGTAACACACGTGATTTTTGACGTGGACGGACTGATATTAGGTAAGTAGTATATTTATTGGGTACACATTTAAGTTAGTTATGTATTTTTATGTCAAATAAACATCGTAACTTCTACAATACTTCTCGTCTACAGAGACTGGAGCTGATATCCGGAGCACGGACTGTGTGTTTATGTGTGATGTACATGTGACCCATATCAGTATATATAGCAAATGTACCATGTGTATTAGATAACATAAAAATAAGCCACTTCCGGTTGATGTAAGAAAGCTGCAACGTATTCGTTCTGACCACGTGCGGGATGTTCCGTTTTTAAAAAAGGACGAGTCTTCCACCCCACAGCAATCTTATGTCTAATCGAGTAAAATACTATATATATATATGTATACATGATTAAATACACGTAAAAGTAAACACAACAACCACTAAATATCCTCACAGAACAACCCCTCCCCCCTCCCACAAACCATCCCCAACACCACTCCGGTCCATACAACTAGCACTTGATAAAGCCCATACATCCATCTGCACATTTCTTTGACACCCAGCACATCTTTCAACCTCCAATCCCTCCAGCCCCCATCCAGGTTATAACCAAACTATTATAACACTAATCCTGCNTATAAGAAAGATGACATTGGTACAAGTACAGTCAGGTTTATTCTCAGTGACGAATGATGAGGAGAGGAGTACATGGAACGGACATAAAAAACAGCACATGCATGACACTAACCACTAATATACAGTTCGTCGGATGGGACTATAAATGGTGACCCGTGTGAGAACTGTCCAATCTCGCACGGAAAAAAATCCCTCTGGGTTTTTCGAAAAAGAGAAGGCGCATAAACGCCGACACAGAGGATAGTGAAAACTGTATCCAAAATTTTAGGCCGTTAGAACTAGGGTATCTTTAACTTATTAAGACATTTAGAAGGACTTCCAAATTTTATATACAAGCCAAATTCATAGAATAGGCAGGTGCTGGTGTGTCTGGAGGCGGCACAGTACCCGATCACTTCCGGTCCTGACTAGGTTAAGGCATTGTTAGGCATAGGAGCCGTCTTACAAAAACTAGACTTATACAGTTAATATATATAGGATAGACGGCCCCTTCTCTAACCTATCCCCCTCTTCTACTCTTTTACTCCATACTTTATCCCTTCTACTCATTTTCCTTTCTGTTCTTCGTCTGCTGGATAACCGAACCACTCGGTAGTGAAGCGGACGAAAAACCAATCAATCAATCAATGTCTATTAGATATTTGTAACGAACCCCTGTGGCCAGACCGGGACTCGAACAGGGAACCTCCTTACCAGTGGCGTAGCGAATCATTATTTCGGGGTGTATGCTTACACGTGGCCAAGCGTCCGAGGCTCGTGGAGCTGTATCCGGAGAAGGGAGGGGGTTGTCAACCTTCAGGATCTCGTAACTACCTGACCTGCTGGACACAACACAGGGATATTTTAGACGTTTGGCAATCGTCTGTAATTGTAAACTGACACAAAAATTACCGGAAGTTCGTCCGGAAAACATAAGAAATAATAACTGGTTAAAAAAACACCCATAAATATGCAGTTTTGCTTAATGCACTTTTTATCTTACTCAAAATGAACCCATACCTGAAAAAACGGTGATATATTTCATTCATGAACCAGTCTTTTTTGTAGTCTGATAAACGTACGAAAATGTCGCATGCAAATGAGGCCACATCTCCTCGCCGATTTTTTTCCACTTCCGAAGAGCCAATGAGACATTCTTATTTTGATAAACAGTGTTTTCAATGAAACGTAAACCTTGTAATGTGATGATCTTCCCATTTTCACCAATTTTAAACAGAACAAAATGAGAAATAACTTACCATCAACCAAAACCGATATAAGACTGCCGAAAAAAAAAGATTCTATATTATAACTTAATAAATAAAATAAATAAATGAAAAAAATGATATGAATTCGTTCAAGTTGACATACTGAAAAATCAATCAAAAATGTGAAATTAAAAAAAAAATAAGAAAATCTTGCAGGTCGCTGTAGAGAATTTCTTTTTAGTGTATTCGAGTTATCTTTCTTTGAACACTAAATCAAAATAGACACACGGAAACATATGACGGCTACTTCCGAGGGGAGAAATTTGTTAAAAATTGTTTGTTCTGATTTTTTACATACAGTTTTACATTGCTAGTTTTTTTATTTCCATTAGTAGATTGTATACATGTTTATGACAGTCATCCGTAATTTCAACAGTTTTCTGCCGATATGATTACGAAATCGCGGTTGCTTCTTAATGTCATAGGAGTGTATTGATAAACGGAAACAGGAAGTACAACCCTAGTTGAATAACCAATGTAGGGAGACAGCATCACAATTTCCGCAAATTCTAATGTTTAATATTAAATTGATGAATATTGTATGTTTATTATTGACAGAACAGTGTGTTCTCTCAATATTAAAGTAGTTCAAAGCAATCCAGGCATTACTTCAGGGTTTTTTTTATCAATGAGTCACACGTGTCCATTTTTCTGTACTTCAGGAAACCGGCTACCTATTTCACTATTACCTTAAGTGCGTGGAAAGTGCGAGGATATAAGACTAAAATTTAAAAAAAAGATTTGTTTTTATTCTTTTCTTTTTCCTTTTTTTAGACATGTCCTGTCAAACATACATGTCAAACCTAGTAAAACCATATATACTCTCCAATGGTCTTGATTCTGACATCAAAAATGTACTTTTATGCATTACCATAATACATATTTACCGAAGTACACTATCGAGGCTAACAAGCAAGTTAATTCTTTAACATAACATTATATATATATTAGACACAGAACGCCTGTACACCGTCATCACAGACAAGATCGTGGAGGAGTACGGCAAAACATTCACATGGGAAGTCAAGTCCAAACAGATGGGGAAGAAGGACGTGGAGGCAGCCAACATCCTCATTGGTATGTTTCCCCACCTTATTTTATAGCTATATTGATGCTGTGTACAACATCCTCATTGGTATGTTTCCCCACCTTACTTTATGTCTATGTTGATGCTGTGTACAACATCCTCATTGGTGTGTTTCCCCTCCTTATTTTATATCTATGTCGATGCTGTGTACAACATCCTCATAGGTATGTTTCCCCACCTTACTTTATGTCTATGTTGATGCTGTGTACAACATCCTCATTGGTGTGTTTCCCCCACCTTACTTTATGTCTATGTTGATGCTGTGTACAACATTCTCATTGATGTGTTTCCCCACCTTACTTTATGTCTATGTTGATGCTGTGTACAACATCCTCATTGATGTGTTTCCCCACCTTACTTTATATCTATGTTGATATTGTGTACAACATCCTCATTGGTGTGTTTCCCCACCTTACTTTATATCTATGTTGATGCTGTGTACAACATCCTCATCGGTATGTTTCCCCACCTTACTGTATATCTATGTTGATGCTGTGTACAACATCCTCATCGGTATGTTTCCCCCCCTTACTGTATATCTATGTTGATGCTTTGTGTACAACATCCTCATTGGTGTGTTTCCCCACCGTACTGTATATCTATGTTGATGCTTTGTGTACAACATCCTCATTGGTGCGTTTCCCCGCCTTACTTTATATCTATGTTGATGCTGTGTACAACATTCTCATTGGTGTGTTTCCCCACCTTACTGTATATCTATGTTGATGCTGTGTACAACATCCTCATTGGTATGTTTCCCCACCTTACTTTATATCTATGTTGATGCTGTGTACAACATCCTCATTGATGTGTTTCCCCACCTTACTGTATATCTATGTTGATATTGTGTACAACATCCTCATTGGCGTGTTTCCCCACCTTACTGTATATCTATGTTGATGCTGTGTACAACATTCTCATTGGTGTGTTTCCCCACCTTACTGTATATCTATGTTGATGCTTTGTGTAAAATGATTGAATCTTTACAATCATAGAGCCTAGAGATTCCTTACCCCACACAACTTAAATATAGTAAAAGAGGGAAAGAATGAGCTATACACAAGCTTCCCACTTTAAATTCTATATAATGTAAACAGTTATATTTGAATATCATCAAAAGCATTGTACTGTATTTTAACCTGTTTCTGCATTTGATTATTAAAAAAATATGTTTGAAAATTGATACATATAGCCTCTTGTTTTTATAGAACTGTGGATTCTGTTTCAGATGAACTGCAGCTACCAATAACACCAGAGGAATATCTGGTAAAGGCCAGGGCCCAGCAAAGTATTCTGTTTCCTACTGTAGGTCTCCTCCCAGGTAACATACAA